TGAACCCTGCGTTTAAGGGAGCTCACATTTAGACATTCAAATATTTTAATTTTTAAACCTATAAATATTAATTTTTTCATTTTTAAATTTGATAATTTACGAGTTCATAAATTTAGGAAATTCAGAATTCGGAAAATTTGGAAACTTGGCAGCTTAAAGATTTAGGAAATTAGAAAGTTAGAAACCCGGAAATTTAGAAACTTTCAAATACAGCATCTTTAAATTTTAGAAATTTTGAAATTAACCAGTTCTCAAAACCAAACGTAGAAATTTTTAACATTTCAAATTTTTAAATTTAGAAATTAACAGATTTCCGAATCTTCAAATTAACGAATTTACTAATTTTTTAATTTAGAATCAAAGAAATTCAGCAAGTTTTAAAATCACAAATTCTTAATTGCAGAAACTTTCGAAATCACAAATTCTCAATTGAAGACACTTTCAAAATCACAAATTTCCAATAATAAAAATTTTTAACTTAGCAAATTTTTAAATTGAAATATTTGGAAAGCGTCAAATGTTATATTTTACAATTTAAGAAATTTTGAAAACAAATTTCCATAGGTAATTTGTAACGTCTCAAGTTCTTAAGTTCAGATATATAAAATTTGTTAAATTCGAAAAATTCTGAACATTCAAATTTAATATCTTAGAAATATAGAAATTTAAAAACCAGAAAATTTTTTACTTTCTTAATTTACGAATATTCAATATCACGAATTTTCAAATATATAAAGTTAAAAATTTTCAAATTAATCAACAACCAAATCTTTTATTAATTTTCGAAATTATAACTTTTTAAATATAGAAATTTAAAAAATCAAAATTATTTTGTTTTCAAATTATCAAACTCAGAAATATTCAAACGAAGAAATTTTCTAATATGTACTCAAATAGATAAATTTGTTAACACTAATTTTTTTTAGCTCTACGAATTTTAAAGTGCTATACAGAAGAACCTCTTCCTATATTGCAACTTACTACATTCTCACGTGCAGCGACACATTAAATCTTTTCCTCTACCTTATATTCTTTTCGGTATATAGGGGCTTAGTTTATAAGTAAAATAAAATATAACGGAAGTTAACTACACTCATCGGTGTCTATTACTTTAAACAGTAGCTGGTAACGATAAAAATAATATCATGTTTTACTCCGAATCCCACATATTTTGGAGGCGGCTTTGTTGGAAGTCTCAATATATCTAATGGGCTCTTTTGCGATATATAGAACTGAAGTACTTGAACGTGACTTAGTCTAGGTGTAGTGTACTATTATCGATTATCGATAAATATCTTACCGATACTTTACGATACTTCGAAAATATTGTTATAGTCGTTAAGCCTGAAATACTATATAAACGAATGTAGGATATAATTCTAGAATATAATGCACCCAGTATTAAATTCTCTTGAAATTTTGAGAAAATTGGTTTCCTCTTCTTACTTCGAAAAAAGTATGCTTGATCCTTTAATCTCCTCTCTCAAAAAGGAAGAGGAAAAATACTAGAACATTTCCGAAATAAGTATTCAAATTTAGATTGTTATTTTTTTATATTTAATGTAGCAAATCGCTTTGCAATACAAATAGTAAAATTAATGTCGCCACGATTAAAGTAATTTGAGAGTTTCAGAAAAAGAAGAGAAAACTAAATTGTTAACTTCAAATAAATTTTTATGGTAACTTAATGAATGTTATAATTAATCTTAATTAATGAATTTTTAAAAATATTTGTATTTGTTTAAGTCGATTTTCTACTGAATTAAATCCCGAGTGAACACCTGCCAGGTATTATTGTTTTAATATATGTAATATAAGAGTTGTGATATGCAACTAATGTATGGTGTTATATTTGAAATCAATTTTATAGTAAATATATAATAAATATTATTGTAAAATACAGAATATTGTCGGGTTTCTTCGAAAAAAGTCCAAAAATTTGTAACCAATAAATTATAATGTTATATTTGATCCATTTATATCAATCACATTTAATGATATTATATGGCGAATATTGAATTATATCCTATAATCTTTACATAGTATCTCGACATTCTACCCGATTTTATCAGATTTTCTCGTTTAAATATTTGATGTTTAACAAAGTACCGTTTCTACGGCAGAACCGGGTATTTAATTAAAATAAATGTCACTGTAGAATTTTAAAATTAATTCGAAATGGTACCAGAAGAAAATAGCTGGCTTTTAAATTCAATGCTTCCAAATAAATAATTAGCTTCTTCCTCTGAAAATTTATTTACCATGAAAGACCATGTAACGATTTTGTTTAATTTTGTGAACTTTAAAGAAATTATACTGATGATATAAAACAAATTTTAGCAAAAGGTTAGCAAATATTGTATATTTATAATAACCTACAATAACAGTCTATCTAAAAATACAATTAACTAATCTTGAATTAGTAATGAAAATATTCGAAGTTAACATTAATGATTTAAGAAATGAAATGAACTTTACTGGTATACTACATTAAAAATATTACCGAGAACTAGTCATTTAATGTTAACAATTTTATTATTAAAATAATATGAAAGTAATTAAAAATTACAAGTTTAATAATTATTTTTCACTGCAGAAGCAAAGTTTTACCGAAACGATCTGGTTGAATTTCAGTTCTATTACAACAAAACTGAGGGACCGAATGAAGCTCTAAAAATCGTGCACATATGAAATAGCTTAAAAATATCAAAAATCTCTTTCTATATTTCCTGCACACGAGACATACATAATCCTTTCGTGATGCGTTTGCACGGCAATTCACGTGACTCTTTCTACTCGTGAATCTGCGTCACGTGTACCTATTATATGATGGTGGTGGTAGTTTCTGGACGGTGTTAAAAAAAACAAGGGGAATGAAAAAAAAATGAGCGCAATCCCTGGTCCAGCTGGGCCATGGCGCGTGACGGGTGTCGTTAATATTTCATTAGCATTCGTTTTTCGTCGAGCACACCGATGTGCCGCTTTTATTCCCCGTTCTTGTACACCCCTCTGCACCAAACTCCTACTCGGATTTTCATTGCATGCATTTCGGAGCAATTGCTTCGAATAAAAAAAAGGAAAAAGCTCGCGTGTTTTCCAAGGAATTCTCTCCTTTCTTACGCTCCAATTCCTCTTGCGTGTCAGAAATTCGTTCGAGTTACTTAAATTGTTCCCCTCATGAAACACTTTGGCACATTTCATGATTATCGCTGTAAAATTCACTCCTAAATTAACGCTACAGGAATTTGCTTTATCGACGGAATCGCTATTATTCGTCTCTTTTCATTCATGAACAAATGTGCTTACCGTTAAATTTGTTAAAGCGTACTTCATGAATTTACAATTCTCTTGTGAGCGATTCGATAGGGGGGATTAAACTCGTGTCTTTTCAAAATCGTCCGAATGGAAAAAGGTTTAAAATTTATGAAAAGTTTGGGAACATTTATGATTATTTACAGGGCCGCAGAATTTTTAGGATCAATGTACTGGAAAGCCCGTGTAACTTCAGAAGGAAACAGAGAATAACGAATCGTATATTGTCAATTAAATCTATCAGTTTCTGTAAAAAAAAATATAGTGATATGCATCTGAAGAAAAATACATACTTTTTATTAAATTCAATTTATGCATGAAGAATATGAATACTTATTTCTGCGTAACAATAAATAAAAATATTTATTTTTCCTATACTTATTGCATGTTAAATTAAATGAACTATCTATTGTACGTTTAGACAGGAAATACTTTAAGTTATATTTATAAAGAAGCATTTTATAACGTTAATAACGTTATCATCTCTAATTAATTTCAAAGATTTATTGTGTTTAAAAACTTTTTACTGGAAGTAGTTTCATCAAATTATTGAATAATAAAATCATGAAAACGAGCACCCACGAAGTCGGACAAGAAATTGAAGGCATCAGTCACAACGAGAAGATGCATACTCTGACATCTCGATTTCCTTTATAATTTTGCTTTTCCTTCGTCTTGAAGTCTTCCTTCTCTGTTCTTTTCCTGAAACCGTTCGTCGCCACCCTTCCCACCCTTCTGCTCCCACGTTGCTTCGCGACTCGATTATATCTTCTTTGACTACACAATCTCGACAACCCTTCAATTCAGCCAATTAATTAGTACTTAATGAACAAGCTTTGAACTGCATTCTCCGTCGCTGCTGCGACGTAGACGTTACAACCAGTAACTATGACAGAGCCACCCGGAAACGATGAAAGGTTGAGGGAGTTGCTTTGTTCTAACATTCGAGGAGACAATTTTGTACCATCATTGTACCAATATGTATGAAATTTTAATTCATATTTTTTTAAAATAATTAATTTTGAAAAAGTAACAAATTGCGGAGAAGTGATAGGAAAACTACAATGAGGAAAGATATATAATATTAATTATTACACAATGATCCTTTTCATAAAAAAATTGAAACTTTAGAATAACGCAGTTTTTGCATGTAAAATGTGATAGGTGTACATAACTTCGCTAACGTTTCAAAGGTATATATGTATGTAAATGGGTTAAAGTATGGCTACATATTTTGAAATACGTTGCTAAATAAACGAAACCATAAACTACTAGAAAGTTTTATTTCGGTTTTCGGTATTAAAGAGTCATGTATGTTCTAAAACATGATATATTAATTGATATATTAATTATTTCTGATCATTACAATAACTGATTAATCTGATTATTGATACAAGAATAAATTAATACTTATAATGCTAATAATACTTATTGAAGAATAAAACACGAATTTCATGAAGATCTTATTCTTTTATCAAATCTTGTAAGTGACATTTATTTTTACCCCTGCAAAGCGGGTAGGCCGACTAATAAGCACATAGAACCAAGAATATCTTTCTGAATAACAATAGCCACATTTTACATTATGTAAGAATGAAGGAACTTTTTCTAACACCTAATATTAGCAGAAAGGAAACGCAGTTAAAAATCAAGGATCTACCGAAATAAAGTGCTGAATTTTTACTCACCATTTCTGTTTTCACTGTCTGCCGGCTTCATTTGAATCGGATGCCGCATCTGAAAGAAAACAGAGAGGAAATGATTTTATTATTTATACAGGCGCTCATATCGATTTACTGGGCTCTTGAAATGTCTAATTTCGCACCGAGAAGAATATTTTATGTCAAAGTAAGTAATGGAAGGTACGTGTTAAGAAAATTCGTTCGAGACATCATTGGACCTTTTAAAATATGCAATGAGTCCAGAAGAACTATTCCCTTACTTCCGTTTTAAGAATTTTGTTTTAAGAACATTGGGAACATTGACTTCTTACTATTGTTAATTAATGTAATTTAATAAAAATTCTCCGTATTTATGAATGTTTATTAGCAAGCCTTTTAACTGAATTATAGTTTTCACTTTAAATATTGTAGTATTTGTTTACTGAATTCAATTCAGTAAAATCATTTTTATATTTAATTATTAATCATTTTTAAATTTATAAATTCAAAAAAATTATAATTTCAAATCTACAAATTTATAAACCCAGAAAATTTATAATTTCAAATCCACAAATTTGTAAACCGAGGAAAAATATAATTGCAAATACACAAATTTACGAATTCTAGTTTGTAGATTTCGAAATTAAAATCTCTTCGTATCCCTAAATGCAAAATGCCACAAAATTCTTTCAACAAAGTACAATTTGCATTAAATGTTGAATTTTCGTTTTAATTAATGAGCAAAAATAAATCTACGTGTTGAGAGTCATTGGACCTACAATAAAGGAAAGCCTTAACTCTGTCTCCAGAGTCAATGGAACCCAGGGTATGTTTATACTTAATGCCCAATTGGACGAATACGTTACAGACCCAGACTGTTATTTTTTTCTCAGAAAGTGTGTTTTTTTATGCGTTTTAGAAAAGTCATATAATTTTAATTCGATCCTTGAACAGTCGTCCTTCTGAATCGCTTTAATAAATTCATTTATTTTTAAACATATTCAATATATATTTTATTTAAATAAATAACCATCCCATATTTCAATATCAAAAAATAATAAAAATATAATAAAATTTCTCAAGAAGAGGATACGTTCGAGTATCATAACCTAAGCCAATATACGTTTATTAAAAATTCCGTGCTTTACAAAAGAGTCTTAACTTTCATTTTTGGAGGATGTTTTTTGTATCTGTAGTAACTCTTCCGCTAAGCACAGCAGACTTCCAGCATAATAACTCGCGTGATACGAGGAAATTCCCGGGCGTACATTCTTTCGAAGACAAACGTGTATCACCGTACAGAGGTTGCTTGCTCCCTATCGGAAAAAAAGAAGGGTGGAAGGGTGTCGGTGTTTTCCATCGATTTGCTTTTGTGAAATTCCTGAGGCTCGCGCGGCAAGTTTTCCACGGTGCACGCAGACGCGCATCCGGACAAAGGGAATGCACGCGGAAAATTAAATTTCCGTTCGGAACGTATGCGCTGTCGACGGTTCTTTTCTTTTTTTTTCGCTCGATCAAAGTCCTACCAGGGTGGACCACTCGGAACAGCAATATCCAGCTGAGACGCAATCAAGAATGACGTCATGAAAAGAACACGGCATTTCATGTGAAAAGATCGATTTTTATTTGACTGATTTGTGTTGTATTTGTTAACACGAACTGCCGACAGTTAACATGTTGACTAGTACGCGGTTAAAAATCCCATTGGGTATTTTATTTCTGACAAATCTTTCCGTAGTATTTTGTTATATTTATTTTACGTTTCAAGTAATTAATATTAGTTAATATAAGTTAATATTAATATTAGTCTATGCCTGTTTCCACTACAAATTAATTTATTAAATAAAAATAGTAATCTTATCAGATTGAGTAATTAAAAATACACAATTAGTGACATTTTAGCAAATATTATGTATTTACTACAACTCCATCTAATTGCGTAGAAATACAATCGTATACAAAAGGTTGTAGCGATGATTAATTCCGAACACTGACAAATGCGAATTACGTTTCAGGAACACATTGAATAAACCCCTTGTACAACATACGAGTAATTACCGCAACTGAACGGTTGTAAATTTCCATTTGTACGGTAACATATCATTAAACGTACAATTCAGCAAGCTTCGACACATGTCTTGCTCCGTCATTCGTTTGATCTAACTGCGTAACGGAGGGAGAAATATTTAATACGACACAGGGAAGAAAAAAAAAGAGAATGAAACACGTTTCGAGATTAAACTCTCGTTACGATAATTAAAGATTGAACAAGGGGTTGAAAAGCAAGCTCGGGTTCCGTGTTTAAATACGGAGGCGTGAGTTAATTCACCGGTACGCAATATAGAGCACAGTCGATAATAAGGTTCCCATTGATGTACGATGTTGCCGATCATTACTCTCGAGTAGAGATATCCATCGATGGCCTCTTGCTAACTAGGAAACGCTCTGATACCTAAAGCACGTCCCTCGTTCACCATTCATTCTCGAAAATAGGTTACTCCCAATTGCGACATCGCCTCTCATCGTTGAGGACATGCTGTATAGTGAGTGGCAAAAGTATTCGTACCCTTTCAATTAACACGATCACTACCACGTTGGAAGCAGACAAGAGTAATAAGATATGAGCCGTTTATTTTGAAAGTGGAACAAGTCCATTTTTGAAGAAAATTAAGATAGTGATAACGATAGATAAAATTTAATGGTATTTTTATCTAAAAGCAATCTATAATCAGAATAATTTAAATTTCCTAATATTTGATCGATGGGTGCTTTTTGAAAAGATGTTTATTTTCAAATTGATGCAGGTGCACCTCGGGTTGAAATGATTTTCAGCAGAATATATTACAGTACAATCTAGCTCCGGTAAATTTTAATAATGCTGACAATACTGTGAAAAACAACAAATTGAATAATATTAGTGGTATAGGTAACTTCGATATGAGTGAAGATAAGTTGCAATCTGTCCAGGCATCGTTGCTGATTTTAATTATCAATTTGCAAGTTTTAAAATAGTTTCTAATAAATACTGCACAAAGACACGATTTTCGTTTTAGCTTAGGTGCACAAGGTCCCATAACAATTTCGTATTAATCAATTTCTTAACAGTATTATTTAAAAATAAATTAAGGATTGTGGTTTACTTTATTAAAAAAATATGGCTCAGAATACCTTATATATATGGAGTGGGTTATAAAGCCACTTCAACAAAATCCTAGTTTTCAAGGAATTTTATAACTGATAGTATAGTAATATAATGCTTTTGTGATTTCTGACCGTATTTCATTTACAAACTTAATTAATATAATAAACATTATTTAAAATATTCTAATTTTTTTTAAATCAACTCATATTTCTCAAACTGGGACAAACATCCAAATAATTTATCAAACATACATCGTAAGCATAATGAAACTTAATAATAACTATTTTGATATTTTACGCAATTAATTTTCATCAACTAAACTCATATTTGAATAACAATTGCCATTTTCAGCAGAATAACGATAGTAAATATGCAAACCATTTTATGAAATAACGATTATTATTTTATTATATAATTGCAATTTTTTTGTGTTTCATTACATATCTGTTTTCAGCAGAAAGACGATCCTGGAATGTACGACTCATGTTATAAAATAATGATTATTATTTTTCCGTATTTTATTACATATTTGTTATTACTCCTTATATTACGCTGGTAACTAAATCCAAAATTGTTTCACATATTTTGCTTGGAAATTGTTCGAACATTATTGGATAGGAAACGAAAAATTTCCAATAATGCTTAATTTGATTGAAAGCTATTATTTGTTGCATTATCGCGGGTGTAGTCAGGGAGACAGTGAAGGATTTTCTTTTCTCTCGACAAAATAGTGTTTCCATATCGTAGATTGCACTTGTTTGTTTACGATCATCTTGTTTGATTAAATTAGCATCTGCCTCAATATTGCACCTTTAAAAATTCGTTTTTATTAAACATACGGTATTTATTACTGTCCAAAAGTACATGAGCACCCTGTGGTGAATTCTACTGATGAGTGCTGTGCTCGTAAAAACTTCATTTTTGCAATCATGGAATCTCACAGTCGAATTTACGAAATTGATTCGTCTCCCTCGCAATATCACATATATGTACGTCATGGTCCCGTTCGACGAGTCGATTTCGTAAATTCGACTATGAGGCTCGATGATTGCAAAAATAAAATTTTTACGAGTACAGCACTCATCAGTAGATTTCATCATAGGGTGGCCATGTATTTTTGGGCAGCAGTAAATGCCCTATGTTTAATAAAATTGAATTTTCGAAGGTGCAAGATTGAGGCAGATGCTAGTGTACATCAAACAAGATGGCCGCAGAGAAAGAAATGAGAAGCATTTACTGTTGTCTTACAATGTTATGCCCCATGCGTGGTGCATATAACTGTTGACATGTAACAAATTTGGCTCATATTTTTTACAATTACTGAATTTAGAATTTAATTTGAATTAATTTCCTGCAACGATGACGAAATAGTGAATTAAAGGACTATATAATGTCTGTATTAATTAACAATGTTTTATGTAAAAGTAAAACTTATAATTCATTTACGGTAACATGAAGTTCATTTTTGATCAGTTTTGATTGACCCTTAATTGATAATCTGATTACGTATGTAAATTACAATTAGTAATTCTGAATAAATGTAAAAATTATGAATATAGGTTACCAACCTGATACATTTCGCGTATGATAAATGTGTTTTATTGATTTCTTACATACAGGATAATACACGGTTTGCGTGTATTTTGCATAATTTCATGTCATAAATGCATTATACGCAGTCTAGTTATTATGCAAGGTGCTATATACCTCAACGGTACAGCTTGAAAAACAGGGATTTTACATAAAGAAATAAAATAAAAATTTAGATCGTGATTGTTTTTAGGATTTGATTCTGAAAAAATTATGCTCTTACGTATGTCTCGACATAATAAATCTCACTGTAAATTATCTTCCTTCACGTATGTGAATATTGCCAATGGATGGATACAACACATTGAATGCCCACAGGAAATATTTATTTCTCTCGAACGTTT